GGGCTAGAACCCCTGTAGCGTGGTCATGAATCAAATGCAAAAGGCTCTTGCTAGTAGGTTGGAGGCCATCGCTCTTAGGTTGGAGGCCATCGCTACTAGATTGAAGGCCATTGGAGGCTATCGCTAGTAGGTTGGAGGCCATCGCTCTTAGGTTGGAGGCCATCGCTAGTAGGTTGGAGGAACGCACCTTTGCCGCAATGCAGAACACGGAGCCTGTCCTTCACAAGTTACCTCCAGAATGATCATTGTAGTTTTACTTAAGCTTGCTTAACAAACAGCGGCCCGAGGGCGGCCGGGGCCTCGACAACATCAATGTGCGCGGCGAGATTTTTGGGTGCCCGCTCAATGTGCGCAAGATAGGCCTTTGTCGAGGACAATGCCGCCTGTGGAGAACTGACGTGCGTCAATCACTGTGAGTGCCAAAGGTAGCCGCCAGGCTAAAGATTGAAAGTTGCTACGCGCACTAAAGTTAGCAGCGAGGCAGAAGCTTGAATTGTGGCTTGCCAAGCTTCCTCAGTCACTAAACGCTTGTGGGTAGCCAAATTGGGAAGGTCAAGTCAGGGTGCGGCAGAAAGAGATTTCCTCCGGTGTGGAACTGGCAGTGAGTCCAAACGCTTGGCGCTAGAGCGTCTAAGTCTGTGGCCAACGGCACTTCGCAAAGCGCGGCGATGCCGGAGCCTCTTGTCTTGTAGGCGGAGCCACTGCTCAACGTGCTTGGCGCGGCGCCAGCTTCGCATAGCTTCGCTAAGCGCAAAATGCCAAAGTATGAGCGAAACACATCAAATGCGCGCCTATACATGCCTATACACAGCGCCCACATGTGGCCAACGGTGCCAGCGCTGCACGTGCCGCTAAAGCTCTCGGTGCCAAAAAAGTGCGAACATTTGCAGCCAACGCTGCCGCACACGCTAAAGCGCCAAAATTGGCACCAAAGATACCGGAAAAACACAGCGCGCGAAGCGTCAAAAAATTGCGGCACAAAAAACAAGGTCGCTGTCACTGCTTTCAGCCAAAATGTGGGAAAAGATATCGTGGCCAACCCCTTTAGTTGTTCAGCTTTCGACCCAGACACCCTCAAAAGTTTTTGCTATGGGCTTATGTCCGACATATCTGCAAGCGCACGGCGTGACCTCTGGGAGATCACACCTATTAGTGAATCTGGTGTCAGGATTTATGTCTGCCATTCTTGAGGCCATGATGTCGAGGAGGAGAAGATTGCTGAATTTGCCCAGTCCATGTACGAACCCGACTGGAGCAGCTGGGGTGACCCAGCTGCATAATGCGGATGCTTTATGCAGCTGCATAGCGAAGCCAAACTGCATGAGTTTTAACTTTTGTTAGAGATGTCGATGTCGTATGTCACACCTACAGTTTGTATCACATATAGTCGTTTTCTTGGCCTTACAAAACTGTTACTGTACTAGGACTTCTCACAACTCACTGATGACCATCACTACAATCCGAGGTACACCAGCCTACATGCGTCCAAAGAACTTCTGCGCATGGTGTGGAACGCTCGGAGCTCACCTGTTTGCGTGCACTCCAGTGTCCTTGGGTAGCCCAATGGCCTCCAACCTACGAGCGATTGCCTCCAACCTACTAGCGATGGCCTCCAACCTACTAGTGATCGCTCTTAGGTTGGAGGCCATAGCTAGTGGGTTGGAGGCCATTGCTAGTAGGTTGGAGGCCATCGCCCTTAGGTTGGAGGCCATCGCTAGTAGGGTTGGAGGCCATAGCTGGAACATTGTGAAGATCAGGGATGCAGTTCTGCTGAGTCGCTTTGCTGAGGCCTCGGGTGATCTCACACAGCTTCTGCCCTCAATGTGGGGTCTCATTTGCTTGGTTGGACTGAGATTGGAGAATCGCCGCCGTTTGAAGGCGTGGGTACTTTTCTCGGGCCTGAGGGTACACATTCGTTCAGTTTGAGGCCAGTTATGTGTGAAGAAACCGAAAGAGTAGTCATTCCACATTTCTAAGGGACTGCATCCTTAGGTCCGCGAAAGTTCAATGCAAATACGGCGAGTACAGCTCCAAAATGGGCCAGTTTGCCACAGTTCTTCCTTCAAAGTTGGCCAGGGCAGCATAGACGCAGCACCTTGGAGGGGTGAGTCAGCCAAGGGTGCGCGCACAAAAAGCGCGGCACGGATTTGCTTTTGACTGACTGTTGGTGGACATGTTGCAGAGTGTGTCTTTGTCAAATTCCAGAGGCATCTATTTGTACCTGCCGCGGAACAGTCTTATGTAGGCATTGACGCCTGACTCAGCTTGCATGCTCGATTTGTGCTCCTTGGGTGGGGCGCATTGCATCCTGGTTTGGCGGTTTTGCATAAAATCGGAGAAGACCTTGGCTGTGCAACCAAATGAAACATCAACAGGTATGGCATCTACGAACGTTCTGGGAACTCTGTCGAAGTCACACAGCACGAGTCTGTGTCTCCCACAAAGTCAGATTGGGCTCTACGGGACTCAACAGACGACTAAGTCAAAAACACCAAAGATCCAGTTTGCATCTTTTTTGTCCACTGTGATGTTTTACAAGCCAAACTAGACATGTAAGACATCATGACATCACTTTTGTTGAACACTCATCCAACTGGACAGAAAGTGCTTACCGAGGGCTCCCAGTTTAGGAGGAAACGTGTTGGGCTGTCGAGGTCTCCACATTCTCAGATATTTGAGGTGATCCGAAAATCAGAAGACCAGAAGCAATGCCAGAAGCCCATTAGGACAACTGCTGTGAGGCTTTCAGTGTATGTGAGTCTCCCATCAGATCTGGGGTTGGTGACTTCCCACTCTCAACTTGGCATAAGACATTTCCTGAATACTGTCACAACTGAAAACATCCACGTTTGCCAGGGAGAAGTCAGTCAATTTGGACAGCCTCACATGATGTTGCAATGTCTCGGCGCATCTGGGTAATCCCAGACCCCTCTTTATATACATATTTTGATTCTCAGGATAAATTATGCTGCATACTCGTCCAATCTTTTTCGCAAGCTTTCAGTCAACTTTCCCAGGCGAGGTCGGGAAGTCATCGGACCCATTTTCCGCTGTTTGCTGATCCAAACAGTGCGAGTTTTTGCGATTGTCGCGGTCATGTCGACTGGGCTACTTCTCACCCACTGCAATCTTGATTGTGCATGCTCCAAGTTCTTCAGGAATCTTCAGAATAGACTTGTTGTTTTTATTGGGAACCGGGGAATCATCAAGCTTCAAGATTATTTTTCAGATCCTGTACTACTCCAGCCTCCCCTTCAATTTGAGCAGTGGAGCTTTGAGACTCAGACCTGGTGAACGGGCTGGGGACGAAGCAGAGAGGCTTTCAGCTTTGGAACTTAGTTCAACTACTGAGTTCGGTGCAGCATTTTCTCCTTGTTCGGTACCTGGCTGGGAATTGATTTGTTGGAAGCATAGTGCGGGGTTGGGCCAACTGGACGTTTGTCACGTGGATCACATGTGGGTGACAGGTGACATGTGCTGGCTTGACTCAACGACCAATGATATGAACTGTTTTGACAATCAGCTATAGTCTGGCGATCTGACGAAAGATCAGTTCGCCACCCAACCCTGTCCACCGCAAGTATCGTCCATACGCAGTGCCGTGAGAACGCATCTTCCAAGAACATGCCCGAGACGGAGTTCTACAGAACTTTAGAATCTAGAATACTTCAGACTTCTCAGTAGAAGCCAAGCAGACACCACTGGCATCATGCGCAACTGCTAAGCTGCCAAGTCTTCAATATGACCCAGAGGCAAACAGGAGGGTTGCTAATCACTTCCTTAAGCAGAACTTGTACTGTAGCTCTGCATTGGCGGGCATTTTCACGCGCTCACCATACCTGGCACATTGACTGCAACACGAACCGTTGGTTGGACGTTTTCAGCAGAGCGGGTTCTCTGTGTATTGCACAGAACTGCCATTTTTTAATGCCATTGTTCCTGGTTTGCGCAACAACTACCTATTCAATATCATTTGTTTGTGAGAGTCTTGCACTGTTAGTTTTGCTTCAACGTCTGCTGTTGCTTTGGCGCAAGCCCCAGTTTCGGCATTCCTAGCTGCGCTGCTGTGTCTCCACGTTGGGCAAAGCTTGGGGGGGGCGAAAAGGCCCAGAAACGGCTTCCGAGTGTGAAGGGTTGCTTTCATGCGCATGGTTTGAAAGGCACAGGGAACACGATAGGCGAAGAGCCGCAAGCGCGACCCTGCTTTGATGCAAGCGTGGAAGCTATCCCAAGTAACCCTGGGGAGCAGTGGCCAGATGTCCAAACAAATTGTCGCATGGTGATAGATATTGATAGATCATGACTTATTCGATTAAATCCTCTCACCTAGCAAGTTGCATGGAGGGGGTGCATAAAGCTACAAAGAAAGACTAGACTAGTGACTAGACCGGCAACGACACTGGTTGCGTGGTATAGTTGCACCTGTTCTGGAAGCAAAACCTCAACCATGGGATTTCTGGCCAATGTCGGCTTCAGTCGTTTCAGGCTGAGGCTGCAACAGTACTTGGAGCATGGCCCAGTTTTTGGAGACCAACGTCAAACCGGTTGCACTTGAGTGCAGTGGAAGTTGCTGACAGTCACTGGACAGCGCCAGAGGAGTGCATAAGCGCACAAGACTCGGCTGAGCGTTCTCGCGGGGTGAAGAAATCAGGGAGTTGGTGAAGGCTATGGCAGCTTTGCGTGATCAGCTTCCCTCCCTCCCTCCCATCTTGATTCTTGCTGTATGGCCATGTGCATGTGATGTGCACCGGCTTTGAAAGGAAACATCAACAATTGCAATGCTAAGATTGCAGAGAAACTCTGAGCAAAATCAGACGCCGTGTTTCCGAAGCGCGGCCTTTTGGCACTTTGGGGGATTTGTGCATGGTCTGTGGCCTTGTTGTCTTGCAGAGCTGCGACAAGAGCTTCCAAGTGCTAGCACGTACTTCCCGGTGTTGATACAGATATATATATATATTTATAGTATATATATATAAATTATATACTTGGCATCATGGTCTCATGCATCATGGTCACAGTTTCAACCTGTTGACCGGCAATGGATTTTGAAGCCTTAGTGCGAAAGGTCCGTTCCTTCCAGAAGGCCAGGTGCACTTGAATCGAACAATCGCTTTAGCTGATCGTGAAGGACAACGTGAAGAATTCGTTTCTGAAGCCTGAGGGTCAAAATCGATGGTAAGAAATCGATGCAGCGAACTCCGTCTTGGGCCAGGCCGGCACCTATGGGAGGCAAGCCTGGAATTTCTACTGTGACTCGCATGGCGAAGGCGTGAGGGATCCACGCCGCGGGGAACCTCAGCGTCGTTCCGACGGGTTGTGGATCGGACTGGCAGGGCAAAAGTACGAAGTATTAAATTACAAGAGACCCCGGTGAATAAGCGCACTTCTGCAGTCTAGAGCACACATGAGAGCACACATATGCGAGCAAGCGCATGTGAAAGCGCAGGTATGAGAGAGCGCACATATGAGAGCACATATTTGCACTTCGAAGAGCACAAAGTGCCGCGCCCACTTCAAAGATCTCGAGAGGCATGAAGGTGCTGTAGCTGGCACCCTCGATCAAACCCAGCCTGAACCGCTATATGCCGATAGCACCCCCAGTGTGTCCACAGTTTGGACAATGGTCTTCTCTTATTTGAAAACACGGTACCGGCGTTGCTAGCGATCCGATCTGATGGTGTTTTATTGGACCTGGTCATCTTGACGGCATGTGTCAAAAGTACCAGGAGGGTTGATTTGTGCTTAAACTTTAAACGGTGTTGAATTGGAACTGTGCGTGTTTTCCTATTGTTTGCATTATTCCGTGTGTGTTTTGTTTTTTCAGGAGTAGAATGGCAAATCACAAGCGTAAAATTAGGCGGGCCTGCTTTTGGAGAAAGCCTTTTTTGTTTATCAGCATGGAAGAAAAGGAAAATTTTTGCAGCTTCAATGTGACACGATTTGTACCTGGTGCGCTGTTCAAGGCTGAACGTTGCGGCAGCATGGGGTCAGCGGCTTTGCTTTCCCTATCTTTCTCTGACTCTCTGCCAATGCCGAATCAATAGAACGCTAGCATAAATGCTTTTGACATTTTGGGCCTTTGCTGCACTTGCTTTGTTTGTGGCGTTTGGCGGGGTGTTGAAGCAAATTTCCGCTTCAATGATGCTATGCTTGGAACATAGCTTTCGATCCACTTGCTCCTCACAAATAGACGACTCATCACAGGGTCTACAGTGGGGACGTCAGGAGAAACCGCTGTGTTGGTTTCTCACAAGGGTTTTGATATTTGTTTGATCCAACTGCCCAAAGCTGGCATGAAGCAGCCGTTCTTTGGCGTCCGGCTATATATTTTCTTCTTAATGGAAGTGCTGAAAAGTATGTCGACGACCGAGACAATAAGGGGCTGTTGGGACATTAAGAAACGAACACCTATGCAAAATGATAGAAGACTTTACAACTTACTAGACAAGAACTCTGTATGCAAGTATTTGAATGACTTTGACCATAACTCACATGGGTTTGCTTGAGTATAAGGACATGTGGGATGGTCCAATGATGTGAGTCCCGACGTCCGCCGGAAAAGAATTGAAAGTCACGTCGTCGTAGCTGCATCGGAGCCTGCCATCACATCATGGGAGTTTCTTTCCTTTGCGTGGTTCAGTTGCAGCTCCCGTTGCCTCTTCGTTGGAGATCCTTGAAAGGTACTTCCAAATCCCTTGCCCTGAGTAAGAGAACATGACAAACATGAAATGACAAATCTTTAAAAGCAATGCTTGGGCCACATCCAAATCTGACATACACTGACGCTTTGACATCCCAGTCGCCATCAAGCAGTGATGCCTCTTTTGGAGTTGTCTCGCCACCTTGCTCTTGACCTGCCAGTTTCCGTAGATTTTGCATGATTTTGCTGGGGCAAGTCTATATAACTCCTGGTGTTGCTCGACAATCCAACTTACAGAATGGATGAACACATATACTGTAATTATATAATCGATATGTCAATATGTATGTATGCAGAATTACAACATTGGTTCAAAGTCACCAATCTGAAGTAAAAATATGCGCCGAGTCCCGGTGCGTCCAGTTGCGTCAAGAGGTGAGTCGAGGTAACGGGGTGCATCCTAAAAAAGATTCCAATATGAATATGACAAGAGCGACAAACACACCGCGGTCTCCTCGCACTGGTCCTTTCTTATCGCCTAGCAGCCTAGCATGAGCCACACATCCCACCTGCATAGCCACCATCCAAGGCCACCCGCAGGCCTTCCTCGAGGCCTTTTTTGATGCCGAAAAAGAGGGTTTGGAGGGCCTTGATGAGTGGAAGGCCGATCCGCCAGGGCAAAGGTGATGGATGGGAAGCGGTGCTGCAACGGCGCAGAATGACAGTCTCTAAGTTCTTCATAATTCTTCTAGGACCAGACTGAAATAGAGGGACTTTGAAGGACATTTGTGAAGAGAGAAGCAAGAAGAATAGCAGGGGATTGGGGATGAATCAGGATCAATTTATCTTTTCAAAGCTGCTCTATGCCATTCGTGACGTTGACCCAACTTCTTGGGCTGTTGACCAGGTTGATTGCACGATGAACTTTTGGTTATCTTCAGCTGTGACCCTTTCTTCAGTGCTCTCGCTGCCCGGTCCCAGGATCCAGATGAAATTGTGCGCGAGAAGGTGGAGATTCCGCTGCCGGAAGTTTCACAGGAAGAGGTTGAGGCAGCTGCTGCAAGACTGTCTCACGTGTCCTGGCAGGATGTATGAGATACAACGGAGACGGAAACCGCTAGGAGAAGAGAAACTGTTGGAACCTGCCGGCTGGTGCAGGTGGACAGAGAGCTTTGGTCAGAGCTATTGAAGAGCTTCCCCAGCTACTGGCAGCCGATCTACGAGACACCCCTAAAGTTTGGCCACTGGGATGTTTGGGACATAAGTTCTGAGAGAGAGAGAGAGAGAGGGAGGGAGGGAGGGAGGGAGGGAGGGAGGGAGGGAGGGAGTGTGACAATCATACATTTTTTTGTTTAAACGAATGACGTGACGCCAGTAGCAGGTGACAGAAAGGGATGGATAATCTTCGACCTAGTAAGGGACTGCTACACTGTTATAGAAGCTCTCTTAGGCTATGATCCGCAGAAATATGACTTCAAGATGCTTCTTTCGGCCGCATGTTTGCATTTAGAACAGTGGACTGCGATTCTTCAGCATGCCTTCGTTCGGTGTCCTACCTGCATGATTAGCCTCTGACGATGTGGGGCAGGTCGACCTATGGA